CATCCTGGGAATTTAAAAACTAATAAAATGGGATCCTTCTTTGAGAAATCATTTCCACAATTGATATAATATTTTATATTAAGTTCAACTCTCTGAAATCTTGTAAGAAAAGAGGAACATTATGGACCATGTTTCTGTTAAAAGAAGTAGAAAAGAATTATTGAAGCAGATTTTGGGTTAGTCTGAGCTTCTTGGTAGGAAGCGTTGTTCCTATGTTACTTTTGAGACTTGTTCCTAAAAATATCAGCTGAAGACAAGATTTGGAGTTTTATCAGGCCACTACATTATGCAGTATAACACCATTTGTATTATGCTATGTCCATATTCATTGGTTACTCAGTGAGAGCTTGGATCATGGTGAGTGGCACATCCTGGCTTGCATGTACTAAGGATGATAAGTGTTGTAAATGAAATGTATGTGATCCACACAGTTGGTACTCAGGATGTCAACTTATATCTGTACATGAAGTCTTTGAGTCTAAGATCTTCATTTAACATTCTTCTGTGTGTCTCTTTTGAGGCCTTGATTGACTGTAAAACATCCAGTGAAATTGAGGTCTGGGATCAGAGTGCCTCAAGGTTCCCTATAACTACCAAATATGTTAATGATGTCCATTTGCTTTCATCTGTAAGGGAGCCATCGACTCAATTGACAACAATTGAGGTGTTTCTGGCTCCCTTTTTTTTAGGGTGTTGGATGAAGAAGAGAATATTCTGCCTACACATCCTCAAAGTTCAGGGCTTCTGAGTTTAATTCTTCCTCAGTAGGCTGCAGGTCTCCACTGATAGCAGTTTATGGTCAGGATGTTTCTTCTCTTGGATTGCCTGGACTCCTTTCACACAGGGCTTGGTCCTTGGCTACTTGATATCAGTGTTTGTCCTAGGAAGAGTTCTCCATTGTGGTTGGAGCAGGTTCCATTTAAATTGTCTCTTCAAACTGTGCTTCCTAGGGTCAACATTAAGTCTGACCATGTAACTCTCATTGTGTTGGCAGGAGCTCCCTTGATTTTAGAGTTTGTGGTTTATCTTCATGAAGGTCTATTGTTGGCCTATAACATTTCCACTTTTGATTTTGCCTGGCTTGTTCTATGAGTTTTGTATGAGCTCTGAATTCTTCCCAGTCAATATTTGCCCCAGACCTGCTTCTTCATTTGGTCCTTGGAGAATGTCCCATGTCGTTCTTTCTCCATGATTTTGTTCATGCTTTTGTCAGGGTAAGTGTTAGCACTCTTGCATTCTCCTTTTCCTGCTTTGCCTCCTGGCCTATTTCATTTGAGGGATTGGTCTGGGCCCACGTCCTTCCTTAGTTTGGCCCAGTCTTCTTCAGGGTCAGAGGTGTGCTGAGGCCAACTTCTCATCTTGGTGAAGGCCCTGGCTTCAGTCCAGGTAAAGTTGGGGCATGAATACTCTCCTTTTCTTTCTATGAGCCAGGTCTTTTTCTTCTGAGGGATAGGGTAGAACTCATCTCCCTCTTGGTTGGGGCCAGCCTTCTTTATGTTAAAGGGTAGGCATGGGTGTTCTTTTCTTTTCTTTTTGTTTCATTTTATTTTATTACTTTTCCTTCTTCTCCTTTGCCCTTGGCTCTTCCATTTAATGGATTGGCTCAGGGATACCTCTGTTTTCCCTCTGAGCCAGAGCTTATGCAGCTTCAGGTTTTGGTGAAGGCCTCTTTTAGGTCAGGTTTGGCCTTTTCATTCCTAGATTTTCATTTCATTGGCCATTTCATTCCTTTGGTCCCTGGCCTTTCTGGGTGAGGGAAGCCATTGGTAATGTAGGCCTTATTCCTGGTCTTCATCAGGTTCATCATTAGGCCTTGGGATACTTCTGTCTTGACATCATGGTTTAATGGTTAATCCTGGTCTACTTTCACTTTAGGTGCTTAGCTTGGGCCTTTTCAGGGGCCATGTTGGCCTGGGGTACTTTAAGGGTGTGGCTGTGTCCAGGCAGTTTTTGTGTTAGAGTTAAGCCTGGTTATATTGATATTCTGGGACTGTTGGTACCTGTTTCTCTTCAGGGTTGAAGCAGCGGATACTTTTGAGTGCAGGTTTGACTGGAGCTACTTTGTAATTAGCCTTGGATTATGCTCAGCCTTTCTGAATAAAAATAACA